CTGGGGTTCTGACAGCTTACCTGGTGTTGGGTTGGAATCAGCAAGGCTGAGGCTTTAGGAAGACTTTAGGTTGCTTTCTTCCACTCCTTTCAGGTGAATGCTGCAGGGTGCTTATCGGCCTGGGGCCCTTTGTAGTGCTGCTTCCCTTATTTTTGCTGAGGCACTGGGTGACCTGTTTGCTGGGCTGCTGCACTGCTGTTCCTCGTTTTTCTTCCAGTTCAGCTGTTCCAGGGTTTTTTTTTTCCTAGGGTGATATTTTCTGGGTTTTCAGAGGTTGATAGGGGAGGATGAGAGCAACTACCTTTTTACTCCGCCATCTTGGTTCCTGGAAGCGGAAGTCTCAACTTTTATTATTAAAATTCAGGCAAAGCTGCTTTTCTTTTTCTCAAGGAAAGACATCCTGGGTAGTGGCTGGGTTGGTGGGGTGTGTCAGGAATGACTTGATGTAAAAACAAAAGGCATATGTTTAAAAAAAATTCAGCCAAGGGTAAAACTAGTTTGAATATAACCTTTTTTCAAAATCTTATGGAGAATGGTGAAAGATTATGATTACTCCCATAAATAGGGAGAAATAGTAGCAATAAACAAGTTCACTGACAGTTTGTTGAAAAATTCAATTAAACTAGATTGCCAGAGAACATTGAAGGATACAAAACTTCAAAAATACCAAAAAAGAGAAAGAAAAGTAGAAATGATCTGTTGAAATTCCTATAACAAAGTCTTTTTTCTCATTCTCCACTCCAGCTAGCTGTTCTGCTTGCTCAGATCCTATCTTGAAGGCCAGGCAAGAATAAGAGCTGGCAGTCCTTCCTTTCCCTTCCCAGAAATCTTCCTGTCAGTGCTCTTTTTCCCTTTCCTCCTTTTGTCTGAGGCCAGAGATGCCCAAAACACAAACTCAGAAAAGGATAATAATACCAGAATTCTGATAAGCAAAGCCTCAAAGAAGAACAGAAAAGAAATATTGAAGGAAATACTGATAGTTGACTGTTGCCATAAGTGTGAGTGGTGGAGGTTCAGAAAGAGAGAAAAGAAAAGGTTTGGAGTAGTTACTTTGGGGAATGTGATCAGGAATCAGCTGATGATGGCAGAGCAGAAGGATTGATTGTCCAGCAGCAGGAAAGATCTAGATAATGACACATATACATAAAGATGTGTGTGTGGGGGTATTGTTGAGTCAATTAGTAGTATCATCCTACCTCACTCAAAGTAAACATCTCTACTGAATCAGTCATAGGCTTTTTTTTTTTTTTGGTGAGGCATTTGGGGTTAAGTGACTTGCTCAGAGTCACACAGCTAGTGAGCATTATGTGTCTGAGGTTCAATTTGAACTAGGGTCCTCCTGACTCCAGGGCCGATGCGCTATCCATTATGCCAACTCGTTGCCTCCATAGACTTTTGACAGTGTGAAAAAACCCTTAATCAATTTAGATATCTTTGAAATATCATACAGGAAATGTGTTCAAATAATTGAGAAAACTTGGTCATGCTTTGTGGTCAAGGCTATAAAATAGAAAGCCAGTTCAGAACTGAGATAATTGCATGTATGGAAGCTTAGTAGTGGAATCCACCAGCCAAACCTCAGAAAGAGAATCATTTGAAGGATGAAAGAGAAGATCCTTGGGCCCAGCCTCAGTCTCAGCCTCCTTACCCAACTCTTCCCACTTTGGTTGGATATGTACTTTGGAAAATAAGAGAATTTGGACTTTTCATGAACATCCTGGCAGAATCTCCACATCTGCACTGGGAGCTAAAGACTAACTAGAAACGATGAGAAAAGGCATGTTCAAGGCTTTACAAGGTTCCCAGCAGAAAAACTAGGCCAGACCTAAAAATTCCATCAGTATCTCACAATGCGGAGGAAAGGACTTCTAGCAACTTGAAGCTGTGTTAACTATTTAATATATATATGTTCTCTAAGCTTTAGCCTTATTTTTTCCCTGGAGTGTGTATATATTAGTGGAAAAGTGTGTCACGGACTCTGGGGGAAGGGAGACATTTCTTACCAACTATTCCTATTATACCTTAGTAAATGCCTTTTTCTAAAATTTAATTCTGACTGACTGATAACAATTGATAATCATAAAGGCAAGCTCATGGGGGTGAGGGGTGAGGAAAGAACTACAGCATCAGAAAATTCATCTCCACAGGGCTACCCTTAGAACTCTGAGACAATAAATAGTATCTGAGCTATAGTGACTTAGCCATAAGTTCCAGTGAGGCTCGCTAGAATAAATCCAGTCAAATAAGTAAATATTTATTAAGCACCATGTGCTTCATATGGTAGACTTACAGAAGATGAAATTAGCTTGATTTTGTGATCTTCTCCAATCATATTCAGTAGACGTAGAACAGAATGGAAGGATTGGAAGGAGGGAGTTACCTAGGAATGAGGACGTACAGATTCAGAATAATGGAAAGTCATGGAGGTAATGGTGATAGCTAGTGAAACATTGAAGTAGCTATCTTGGGCAAATCATTTCACCTCTCTGGGCCTCAGTTTCTTCATATGAAAAATAAGGAGGTTGGATTAGATGATCTCTAAGATTCCCTTAAAGGACCATCTATAGGTATGAAATCAAGGGAAGCCAGAGTAGAGAAGATGGACTGAGAAAATGGGCATGGGCCAACGGAGAGGAAATCTCTGTAGGGACAAAGAACAGGTTAAGAGTAACTGTGAGATTGAAGACTGAAGGTTGTAGTTGAAGAGTACAATCTCAAAAGTTCCAGTTACTGGAGGTGATACAATTCTGAGGTGTGGTGAGGTTGAAGGAATGACCGTGCTGGTGTGTTGCTGAAGAAGAACAGCAAGGGGGTCACTGGAGTTGATCAGGTTGAGAAATTATGTCATTAAGTTGTAAGAGGGGTTATAGTTTGTTAACATGAGTATTCATCCCTAGGAAGGTAACAACTGGGTATAGAGTGGAAAGGAAGAACTTGAGCCAGGTACTAAAATTATTTTAGTTAGGTGCTCAACAGTCCTGGAACAAGTTTGTGGATATCACAAAATTCTTCTAGGTAGTAAAATGCTAAATTATCAGAGATACAGTGCAGAAAATTTTTTTTAGTAATTTGCTTTTTTTTTTAAGAGCTAGAAGGACTCTGAGATGTCATTTAGTTCAAGGATCTCATTTTTCAGATGAACAGATTGAGAATCAGAGTGGGGAAGCCTCTTGGGCAAGGTCAGACAGGAAATTAATGGAACGTGTGAAATTAGAATGTACTCCTCCTGATTTTCACATTCCATGCTGCAGCAGTAAATTGAGTAATAGAAACATAGATTTAGAGCTGGAATGCTCTTTAGAGACCCTTGAGCCCAATTCTTTTAATTTTATGGATGAAGAAACTGAGGCACAGAGAAGTTGAATTGCCCAGGGTCATACAACTAGCGACTGAGGTAGGATTTGAACCTATGTCATGGCATAGGATCTTAATTTGGCATGAATTGGAGACTATGATAGACTCATCTTCCCTCCAGTTTTGGAAGAAGTCATAGCTTCCCCATTTTCATTCCTATATGGGAAGATAGAAATGCCTCCTTCTCTCTGAAATAAACTACTATATATTAACATTCATACTCTTTATACTTAAATCTATTCCTTTTTTAACTCTTTAGCCTAGTTTCCTATCATTCCCTCAATGCTGTGGATTAGACCTTGTGCTCAGCCCATTCCCTGATTCTCATATTTTTAGCCCATCCCAAGGAGAAAAGAAATTGCATAGATGGAGTAACAGTAATAGTTGTGGCAAGAGCTTGGGCGGTGTTAGGGTTTTCCCAGAAACTGAAACGGAGTAGTCGTTTAATCACCTTTCCTAAAAATTCAGCCCTGCCAGGAGGGTAGCTGTTGTTCAAACTCAGGAAAGACACAAATGGCCATCTGCAGACCATTTAGCAGGCTGAAAAAGGGTGGAACAGGAAAGGGAGGAAGCAGGACTGGGTAAACCACAGGTTTTCAAGGTGCTATTTTTTTTTCTTGCTAAGGCACCCTGTTTTGTCAAGAAGTGCCCATTTGATGACCTCTTTCCCTCTGTACACTGTTTTCCCCTCCTCTCTCATGCTAAAAGATCTCTCGTTACAGTCCCTCTCCCTGTATCAATTAAAACATTTTAAGTTGTTAGAACTGAGTGTGCCTGCTTTTCTTCAGTCCTGGCAAGTCCACTGCTTTTATGGTGTAGTCATGGTGAGACTTGAGTCATCTGAGGAGTGCCAAAAAGGCAGAGAACAGAGCAGAGAGATATTAGCATGAAGAGGATAAAGGAGGGGGATGCTTCCACAGGTAGTGTGCCCATCAGATCTTAACTTGGCAGCCAAATGCATAAATTCTGCCACTGTAAAAACATTTCCCATTTAAATAGATTTTAAAATCACATTGGGCATATGTAAAACATTTCAAGCTTTACAAATATAATGATCATCTTGCAGCAAGTGAGGGTGGCTATGTAAAGATATAATAGATTAAAGACATTTTTCTAAGATTTTTTTCAGACTGCTAACTTATATTTGGATCATAGATGTGGAGCTGGAAGGGTGGTTAGATATCATGTGATATCATGTAGCTTAACTCTCTCATTTTACAGATGAGGAAACTGAGGCCTATCATAAAGGTAGTAAGCACTACAGCCCAAATTCAGCCCTCTTTCCACTGCATCTCGCTTCCTTGTGGATGAACTTTACTTATAGTAAAAAATCATTAGAAATAATTCGATTAATGTGATCTCCTACTGGATTTCATTTTCCTGACTGAGAAAACCCCAACAACATACTCCAAAATTCAAAGGGAGGAAATAAAAATAATGAGGAGTCTTGTTTTCCTTCACACACATTTAAACACAGTCCAGAAAAGATACCAGTTAGATATGTGTACGCGTGTGTCTATGTGGTTTGCCATCTCTCTGGATCCTGACTCATCATCAAGGAGGCCAGTGATCGATTTTTTCCCCACTTCACAAAGTTCCTCAGAACTTCATTTCTTTTACAAAGGGTACGCCTGTTTATTCACCCCAGACACAGTCGGTAAAATAGTTGCTGTTTTTTGAGAACGGTGGCGTCTAGAGCTAACCCTGGTAGCTTGTGCAAGTGGATGCCCACTGTCGGCTCGGGAAGGTCTCAGGGGCGGTGCCGGTCTACTTTAGGACCACGGTCCCCGCGTTCTGGGCCCCGGGAAGTCGCCACCAGGTTCGTGCTATCTGCAGGAGCAGCCAGAGCAGGAGACCGAGAGGATCTCCAGCCAGAGGGTGGCGGGGAGGGAAGAAGTGGGGCGGAGCAACAATCCAGAGGCTCAATTTAGATCTTTCACTGCCCCAATCCGACGCGCCCTTTCGCACGGCCAAACCCAGAGGAGCAAGAATTCCGCAAACTGCTGCTGGAGGAGCGAGGTGGAAAGCTGCAACCTCTGCTGGAGCTGCGAGGTCCTTCCGAAGCAGGATGCTGTTGCCACTGCCGCCAGACGCTGCTGAGAAAATGAGGGGCTCCCTGCTCCCTGCTCCCCTCCTTCTGTGCCTTCTGACCGCGTTCTGGGTTGTTTCTGCAGCTGCCGGGTATGGAGGGATGGGAGGAAGCCGGGGCAGGGAGGGGCGAGGGATAGAGGAGACAGGATGAATGAAGGGGAGGGGGAATGGAAAAGGAGAGTTGCATCACCAGGGATGGGGGGTTGGGTGGGGGGGGAGGCGAGGCAAGGGGAGGTGGGCTGCAAGTAGTAATTTAGATTTGGAAGGACAGGCTTGCGAAATGAGCTTCTTCGAGCTGGGGCCCTCTTCCCTGCGGGGAAAACAGAGACAGAATCTAGGAGTTCGGAAGGAGCGGCTGGGAAAACTTGCATCCCATGAAATTGGCTCGAATTGTAGTTCTCTGTTTACTTCACTTTGTGAATCACTCCCCAACTGCTCCCCTCTACCTCCTCCAGGCATTTCACATTCTGGAAGTCTGAGCTTTTCTGGGGACATTCATTTAGGATGATAAGTACATTGCTCCTTCATTCAATTGTAAGTTCGTAGATTCAGAGCAGAAAGGGACCTTAAGGTCATCATGTCCAGCTCCCTCAAGTACAGATGAAGAAACTAAGTCTGAGAGGTCACACAGGTAATGTGTCAAGAGTTGGGATCTGAGTCCAACTCCTCTGACTTGGAGTCCAACATTTTTCCTCAGCCTTGTACCATGCCTGAGTTTTTACCCAACCACTTATTATTATTTATTGTCTGATTCTAAACTTGTGGTCCTAGAGGATTTGTGGGGTTTTGTGATATGTATTCAGCCTGACTTTAAGGATTGTCAAATTCTGAATCGAAATAGGTACTCAACTAGAGACCCAGTATTAAAAAGTATGAATCAATTTCCCTAAGTATGGACTGACTTTACCTCACATGTCGTGGGGATCAACATTATACCCCAGAGTGTAAGCTTTTTGAGAGAGAATCCTTCCTTCCTTCCTCCCTTCCTTCCTCCCTCCCTCCCTTCCTTCCTTCCTTCCTTCCTTCCTTCCTTCCTTCCTTCCTTCCTTCCTTCCTTCCTCCCTCCTTCCTTCCTTCCCTCCTTCCTTCCTCCCTTTTTCTCTTTCTTTTCCCCAGCAGTTAATACAGTGCCAGGCCCATGTTGTTCATTCATGTTTGACTCTTCCTTACCCCAGGGACTGTAGCAGCCAATACTGGCCATGAGGTTTTCTTAGCAAAGATGCTGGAGTGGTTTGCTGTTTCCTTCTCCAGCTCATTTTACAGATGAGGAAACTGAGGCAGACAGGGTTAAGTGATTTGCCTAGAGTTACACAGCTAATAAGAGGTTAAGGTCACATTTGAACTCAGATCTTCCTGACTCCAGGCCTGACACTACCCAGTGAACCACCTACAGCTGCTTCTTACCTGGCCTATAGTAAGTGCTTAATAGATGTTTGTTTGCTTGTCAATAGAGTACAGGGAACAGAGCTCTGGGACTGGGGCCAAATTATTTAACCTCTGATTCAGTTTCCTCACCTGTAAAGTGGAGTTAACAATAGCAGCTGTCTTGAAGGCTAATTATGAGGAGCAAATGAGAATATCTGTAAAGCTCTTAGCATAGTGCCTAGCATGTAGCAGACACTATATAAATACTTATTCTCTTCCCTATCTCACACTGCCTGTCCACTCACCAGTTGTTCAGTTGTATCTGACTCTTCTTGATCCCTTTTTTGTGGAGGGTTTTCTTGGCAAAGATACTGTAGTGGTTTGACATTTCCTTCTGCAGCTCATTTTTTACAGATGATGAAACTTGAGGCAAACAGGGTTAAGTGACTTGCCCAGAGTCACAAAGATAGTGTCTAAGGCCTGATTTGAATTCAGGAAGGTGTCTTCCTGATTCCAAACCCCATGCTCTATTCACCGTCACTCACCAGTAGGGCCCATTAAAAGCCGACATAACCCAATGACAAAACTAACAGTCATTAAAATTCAGTTACTTGGAATTAGGAGCCAAAATCATATCCATCTTGCCATCTCTCTGAACTAGAGGTCTAATCAAACTGCTGTTGGCTTCATCCCTCCTCTCATGCTTCACTGTGGCATGGAAGTGACCCTGGGTCCTTGGCTGTGGCAGCAATACACACGTGGTTCCAGGACACTGACTGTGACAGGCAATCTGATCTGATGAAAAGAGTGCTTAATCTAGAGGAGTGAGTGCCAGGCACAGTGCTGAAGTTAACTGATTTGCTGAGGGCTGCGCAGCTATTAAGTGACTGAGGTCAGATCTGAACTCCTTTCTTCCTAACTCCAGGCCCAGCACCCTCTCCACTTTACCACCTTGATGCCTGGGAGTCACTGCATTCAAGTTTCAACTCTGACACATACTGCCTGTCTGGGCAACTCATTTGACTTCTCTGTGCACCCAATTCTCCAAAATTCTAAATTATGTATGAGTTTCAGATCTGCATTGATAGATGGTGTCCATACTGGGAATTCTTTATAGTAGGTGTTCTTTTTTTTTTTTTTGGTGAGTGAAGATTTTCTTTTTTTTTTTGTTTGCTTGTTTTCTTTTTATATTTTTTCAGAGCATTATTCATTACTGGGAGAGATTCAAAGTTTAGATAAAATTGGATCCTTGTTTTTGTGGAGTTTATAATTTGATTAAAAAAATACTAAAAGTTTTGCCTATTACTTCCTTGAATATGGGACAGATGTCCTAAGATGGGAAGAAGCAGTAGGCAAAATCCTTGGGTGTTTTTTTTAAAAATAATTTTCAATCAATTAATTAATTATTTTTAGTTCATTCACTTCCACAATATTTTGAGTTTCAAATTTTCTCCCCATCTCTTTCCTCTCCCTGTCTCTTTCCTCTCCCTACCCCAAAATGCTTTCTGAATACCAATCTTCCCACAATCTGCCTTCCCTTCTATCACTCCTCCCTCTTATCCCATCCCCCTTCTATTTTCCTGCAGGGCAGGATAGTTTTCTATACTACATTGCCTGAATATCTTATTTCCCAGTTGCATATTAGAAGCAATTTTTATTTTGGGTGAGACAGTTGGGGTTAAATGACTTGCCAGCATCGCACAGCTAGTGAGTGTTATGTGTCTGAGCCAGATTTGAACTCAGGTCTTCCTGACTTCAAGGCCGGTGCTCTATCCACTGCACCACCTAGCTGCCCCTAAAAACAGTTTTAACATTCATTTTTGAAACTTTGAGTTCCAAACTCTCCCTCCCCCCCCCATTGGGAAGGTAAGCAATTTGATATAGGTTATATATGTGTAGTCATGCAAAGCACTTCCATAATAGTCATGTTGTGAAAGACTTAGGCCATCCTATCCTGCCCCCTGTTTATTCTATTCTTTCCTTTAACCCTGTCCCTCCTTAAAAGAGTTTGCTTCTGATCCCCCCATCTGCCCTTCCTTCTTTCATACCCCCTCTCTTATCTCCTTCCTCCCTATTTTCCTGTAGGGTAAGATAGATTTCCATACCCAATTGAGTGTGTATATTATTCCCTCCTCAAGCCAAATCTGATGAGAGAAAGATTCACTCATTCCCTCTCATCTCCTCCCTCTTCTCCTTCACTGTAAAAGCTTTTTCTTGACTCTTTTGTTTGTTTGTTTTTGTTTTGGGCTAGGCGATAGAGTTAAGTGACTTGCCTGGAGTCACACAGTGTCTGAGGCCGGATTTGAACTCTTTCTTGCCTCTTTTATGTGAGACAATTTACCCCATTGTATCTCTTCCTTTCTCCTTCTCCCAGTACAATTCTCTCTCATCCCTTAATTTTATTTTTTAGATATCATCCCTTCATATTCAACTCACTCTGTGCCCTCTGTCTATATGTATATATATATATATATATATATATATATATTTCTTCCAACTACCTTAATACCAAGAAAGGTCTCATGAGTTACAAATATCATCTTTCTATGTAGGAATGTAAATAGTTCAACTTTAATAAATCCCGTATGGTTTCTCTTTCCTGTTTACCTTTTCATGCTTCTCTTGAGTCTAGTATTTGAAAGTCAGATTTTCTATTCAGCTCTGGTCTTTTCATCAAGAATGCTTGAAAGTCTTTTATTTCATTGAATGTCAATAATCCTCTCCCCGCCCCCCCCCCCATTATACTCAGTTTTGCTGGGTAGCTAATTCTTGGTTTTAATCCTAGCCCTTTGACCTCTGGGCTATCATATTCAAAGGCCTCTGATCTCTTAATGTAAAAGCTGCAAATCTTGTGTTATCCTGATTGTGTTTCCACAATACTTGACTTGTTTCTTTCTGGCTGCTTGCAATGTTTTCTTCTTGACATGGGAACTCTGGAATTTGGCTATAATATTCCTAGGAGTTTTCCTTTGGGGATCTCTTTCAGGAGGTGATTGGTGGATTCTTTCAGTTTCTATTTTACTCTCTTGTTCTAGAATATCAGGGCATTTTTCTTTGATAATTTCTTGAAAGATGATGTCTAGGCTCTTTTTTTTTTCATCATGGCTTTCAGGTAGTCCAATAATTTTTAAATTATCTGTCCTGGATCTAGTTTCCAGGTGAGTTGTTTTTCTAATGAGATATTTCACATTATCTTCTATTTTCTCATTCTTTTGGTTTTGTTTTATAATTTCATGATTTCTCATAAAGTCATTAGCTTATGTTTGCTCCATTCTAATTTTTAAGGAATTGTTTTCTTTAGTAAACTTTTGGACCTCCTTTTCTGTTTGGCCAATTCTACTTTTTAAGGCATTCTTCTTTTCCTCATTGGAGGCTTTTTGGACTTCTTTTGTCATTGGATCTCGTCTATTTTTTAAGGTGCTCTTTTCTTCATATTTTGGGGTCTCCTTCACCAAGCTGTTGACTTGTTTTTCTGAGTTTCTTGCATTGTTCTCATTTCTCTTCCCAATTTTTCCTCTACTTCTCTACTTGTTTTTCAGAATCCTTTTTCAGCTCTTCCATGGCCTAAGACCCATTCATATTTTTCTTGGAGGCTTTGGGTGTAGGAGTTTTGACTTTGTTGTCTTCTTCTGGTTGTATGTTTTGATCTTCTTTGTCACCAAAGTAAGATTCTATAGTCTGAGTTTTTTTTCATGCTGTTTGCTCATGTTCCCAGCCAATTACTTGACTTTTTAACTCTTTGTTAAGGTAGGGCTCTGTTTCCAGTGTGGAGGGTGTACTGTCCCAAGCTTCAAGCGTTTTGTGCAGCTATTTTCAGAGACATTTCTAGGGACCTGTAAATTTTCAGTTCTTCCAACATTGTATGATCAAAGGAGAAATGTTTACTCCTTTCCTGGCCTGTGCTCTGGTCAATGAGTGACAACAAGCTTTTCTGCCTTGGAACTGTGAGGAGGATTTCCTCTCTGCTGCTGCCACAAGCTCCACCATGCCAGCACTCCTCCTTGCTCCAAGACTGCCACCCAGGACTGTGACCCAGATCCAAGCATGGGCAAAGCAAGAGAATCCTGCCTTAGGGCCAGCAACGAGATCCCTGCAATCTCTCTCTGATCAGCCCCTTGATCCCTGCACTGTCCGTGGGCTGAGAGCTCTGGAAGCAGAGCCTCCCTGGGACTACGCCAGGGCTGGGGCTGGACCATGCTCCTCTCTCACTCAGGTCTGACAGACCTTTCCTACAGAACTTCTAAGTTGTTTCTGGCATTTATGGGTTGAGAAGTCTGGAAACCACCACAGCTGCCAGTGATTCAGTCTCCTGAGGCCTGCTCCAGGTTCACTGGGGCACCATCTTTGCCTGTGTGCCCATGCTGAACTCTGCTCCTCTCCTAGCCTGGTGCAACAGACCTTTCCCATCAACCATCCAGGTTGTCTTGGGCTGGAAATTTGTTTCACTCTGTCTTTTTGTGTGTTCTGCTGCTTTAGAATTTGTTTAGAGTTATTTTTTACAGGTATTTGGAGGGGTTTGGGGGAGGACTCAAACAAGCCACTGCTTTTACTCTGCCATCTTGCTTCCTCTCTCTGTTTTTTTTTTTTAATCAAGAAAAATCTCATAAAATGAGGTGGTCTGCAAACATGAGTCAAATCTCCCACTATGCCACTAACTGTCCAACTTCTCTGTGCTATTTGGTGGTTATAAACTGTAAATAATACTATCTTTTTTTTCTTGGAGTGGAGGTATATGATTTAATATCTAATCATTCTTTCTTTCTTTTTAGCTTTCAACATTCACTTTTATAGATTTTGAGTTCTAAAATTTCCCCCTTTCTCTTCTCCCCCCCTCCCCAAGATGGCATGCATTTGGATATAGGCTATATGTGTGCAATCATATTAAACATATTTCCACATTAACCATGCTGTGAAAGAAGAATCAGAACAAAAGGGAAAAACCACGAGAAAGAAAAAACAACAACAACAAAAACTCAGCAACAACAAAAAATGAAAATGGTATGCTTCGATCTGCATTCAGACTCTATAGTTCTTTGGATGTGGATAGTATTTTCCATCAAGAGTCTTTCAGAATGTCTTAATTATCTAACTATTCTTAATTCATATTGTTATTGTTTTAGTAGCAGTACATTGGCATCAATGTTAGGAGTTTACCTCATTATCTGCCGGATATAGTGGATTGAATACTGGACTTGGAATCAGGAAGATTTGGGTTCAAATCCTTTTTCTGACCCTTAATTGCTAGATAACCTTGAACAAGTTAGTTTATTTGGCAGAGACAATTTCCTCACTCAAAAAACGGGAATAATAATATATGGAATAATTACCTCATAGGATCATTATAAGGCTCAAATAAAATTATGCAGATATCCCAAATGTCTTGGAGCAATTTTAAACTTTATTAATAGCTTAAAATCATGCCAAGACTTTTGGGACACTATGTATATATAAAGTGCTTTGCAAAATTCAAAGTTCTGTGTAAATGTCATTAGCCTTCACCAGTAAAATTTGTGAAGGTGCTTCAAAATGAGGGGATGGGGGAATAACATCTTATTATATTTCTCCCTTCTCAAGGCCCAGTTTTCTGGTGACCACTCCTAGGGTCATCAGGCCAGGAATCAACATGACCATTGGAGTGGAACTGCTGGAGAACAGCCCCTTACAAGTCTTGGTGAAGGCCAAAGTGCTCAGGAGCCTGTCAAACATCACTGTTCTGGAAGCAGAAGGCGTCTTTGAAAAAGGTGAGCTAAAATAAATGCTCTTATTGGGCTCTTCCCCTAGGGTTAGATTACTGGAGCAATGTATTCATTCTTTTTTTTTTTTGACATTTGGAACAGATACATTGAGTTTATGAACCACTGAGCATGTCTATTAGTGAACTTAGGGAAGAATAAAAAAAAACCCAAACAAAATTGCCATAAGAATTTTTTCAAAATTTACAAAAAGAATAAGATGCCTTTTACTAATCCTGTAGCTTTCTGATTGAATGTATCGAGAAAATACTCCTTTGTGGATGTACTTGCCATATTACTATTTCCACTTTCAGGTTTAGTCTCTTTGGGAGATACCCTGGTGTAGTGGATCGGTCCCTGCAGGTGAGACAGGAAGACCTGATTTAAAATCCCACCTCAGACTCTTTTTATGTGGATAGCATTTTCCATCATGAGTCTTTTAGAATTGTTTTAGATCACAATGCATTCATTCTAACCATATTTAATAAGCACAAAGTTTTGTATCTAGGACTAGAGGGAGGAGGAAAAAGAATTCAGCAATATTTACAAATTAATTTTGTGGGTTCCTTCTTCTTATCTGAAAAATAAATGGGGAAAAATAGTCTGAAAGTGGGATTTATTTGAGAAGCCAAATGTTTTGTGAAGTTATTTGATGTTTAGACCTCAAACCTTGAAATTAAGAGAACCAAACTGGGGGATGAATGGGCTCTTTTTTTTTTTGGTTGAGTTCTCTCCCTATTTGTAGGACTCTGAGCTTTTATTATTCTCATTTGTAGAACTCTGAGCTTCTATTACTTCTCACTTAAAAAAAAATCTAAGTAGAAAGATAGTCATAGATATCTTCTTCTTGAGAGACAGAATACTAGTTCCCAATGGCAGTGCAGAAGTTTGAGGAACACAAATGTCATAAGGCACAGAGAGCCAAAATTGTGTAGAGACTAAAAGACTGGCTTTACAGTGATGAGGACCTGGGTTCAAGTCTTGTTTCTGACATATACTAGCTATGTGACCCTGTGTAGCTTACTTTATCTCAGTGGCTTGTGTGGGCCACTTTCCTCTTAAGCTAGGAAGTTACAGAGGAGGTGGCATGGGATATCAATAGAAGGAGTTTCTATACCTGGAACTTCTTAGATTGATGAATTATAGGTCTGGGCCAAAAATAAAATGAGGCTGAAAAATGCAAACTAAAATGTCATAGGGTTATCTCTCCTTTATAGTCTATGCTTTAAAAAAATCTTTTCATTAATATTTAAAAAAAATTTATATTGTCTTTATAATACCATCATTTCCCAATCTTCCCTTGTGACAAAGTAAAACAGATAAGCAAATACATCTGAGGGTATCTAACTCAGTTGTTATGAGGGTCAAATGAGATGGTATTTGTACTATTTTGCAAATGTTAAGCTTTATCTAAAAATTGAATCATATGACGGTGAACAGTAAGGGGGTGGGTAGAGTTACTGACTAGTTTATAGTATAAATATTTGTACAATGCCAGCATAGATAAATTTTGCACAGTCATGAAAATAAGATTTAAAAAAAGTGCCCTCATACTTGCTTCTTATCCTGCTAAAAGCAGATGGGGTAGGAAGGTGTCCGATCCACATGCAGTTCCCCCTCTTCTTCCTTTCAGTAGCAAAAAAGGTAACATACAGCAACAATAAAGGGGATGGTACCCAACACTGGGCAGCATGATTTCCTTCCAGTTCTTGAGCACTTCTCTATTTTTATTACTGAAACTCCACTGCTGAACATGAATGGGTTATGCTCATTTAATAACAGCTTGGGGAAATGGTTGGAATGACCAGTGATGACTGTTAGAAAGTGCCTGAGGCTTTCGGCATTCACTTATTAGGAGGAGTTTTTAGTTCTAGCTCCACTAATTCAGAGCTATGCTTCCTGTAGCCCAGGTTTCTTGAATGAGCATTTTAATGACTAAATTTTAGTTGACATTTGGAGCTTATCTTTACTCTCACATCCTCTCCTGCTATTCTTTTTTTCTGTCATCTCTGCTGTCACGATCTCTTTTCTCCCCCCTTGTAGTTTTGTCTTCCTCCCCCTTCCCTTTCTCTCCACTTTATTTTTATTTTTTCAGGAAACATATCACTGCTTCTTTTATACAAAGTCTATCAGTTGGATAATATAAATCAGACTTCTCTGAGTCCCTGAGTAGCAAAGAGTCTCATCCTACCTAGATGATGTCCTCCCTAAGGAGGATGGAATCGTATTGATAGTAGGATTATATAATTTCCAGAATAAATTCTTTTTTTCTGTGTTATAATGAAAATTACCATTTCTGCTCCTGCACCCTTCCTCAACACTATCTCTTATTAATGACCACACTTAGAGGATTTCTAGTCCATTGGAATTTGAATCCCTATAGGAATAATTGAACAACCTATTTTTCGACCATCTACTTACAGCTATTAAATGGCTATTTTATATACATATGTATGCACACATACATATAATCACATATACATGTGTAATATGTATATATAACATACATATACTATATATATATATATATATATATGTATTTATTGCTATTAGAGGTATAATCAAGAATTTCTTTACATTGGTAAAAAAGAAAGGAAAGTTGATAGAATAAAAGAGTTATAGGGAGCTTTTTTTATGTACCAGTTAAAGGGATGGCCTTGGGGTCAGGAAGACCTGAGTTCAAGTCTTGATTCTGACATATACTATCTGTGTAACCCTGGCCCAGTTATTTAACCTCTCACGTTCCATTTGCTTCAGTTTTCTCATTTGCAAAATGGGGATAAAAATGGCATCTACCTCGGTTGTTTTGAGGATCAAATGAAATAATAATTGTAAAATATTTAGAACAGTGCCTGGCACATAATAAGAGCTATATAAATGTTTTGCTGCTCAGTTGTTTCAGTCGTGTTCAACTCTTCGTGACCCCATTTGGATTTTTTTTGGTAAAGACACTGGGTAATTCACCATTTCCTTTTCTAGCTCATTTTACAGTTGAGGAACTGAGGCAAACAAGGTTAAGTGACTTGCTCAGGGTCCTACAGATAGTAGGTATCAGAGACCTGATATGAACTCAGGAAGATGAGTCTTCTTGACTGCAGGACTGGCACTCTATCATCATCATTGTTGTTGTCGCCATCGTCATCTCCTTCTTCTCCTCCTCCTTTTCCTTCTCCTCTTCCTCCTTCTTCTTCTCCTTCTCTACCTCCTCCTCATCTTCTTCTTCCTCCTTCTTTTCCTTCTCCTTTCTTCTTTCTGTGTGTTCATGAGCAAATCATTAAACTATCAGTGCTTTAGGTAGTTTTTCTAAGACTATCATTTATGAATTACTGATTTGCTTGGGTGGAAGCAAATTTATACCCTGAAAGTTCTCTACACAGTTGAAATTACAAGCCTGGGCCTCACCCTCCCCTCTGTATACTTTCCCCCTTATTCCCCTCAAAGGTGGAAGAATTTTATTTGCTAAGCACATTGGGAATAGAAAAACCTTTGAATGACCTGTATATATATATCAATCTAGTCCTTTCCAGAAATCAGAAATATACAGGAATGGAAGACCCAATTACAAATGAAAGTAATACAAATGCATCCCTAAAACAGCCTACTTTTTCAGGTCTCATTTGTATCAATAGCGGTAAATGTCTAAAACTTTAGGGCTTTAAAATACAGTGAAGAAGAAATGTATGACCTGAGCCCAGTAACAGAATAGCTTCCTTTGGTTTTCTCTCCATGGTCTGTCAGTTCACCTAACAGTAACATCACCATCTTAGTTTTCCCTTTTGTGTAATAAACCCTTAAAAGGTGTTCTTAGCCACTTAGGAGAAGAATATCTTTTAAAAAATTATTCATTAAAAACTGAGTAATGATTCTTAGCAGTGTGTTCCTGGGAGACTAGTATAATCATTATTATCTTCCTTCACACAGTTAACCAAGTTGATATTCCTAACATGACCATTCCAGTCCTCTTCTGCTTTTTTTTTTTGTCTAGGCAGTGGGGTTAAGTGACTTGCCCAGGGTCACACAGCTAGTAAGTGTTATGTGTCTGAGGCTGGATTTGAACTCAGGTCCTCCTGAATCCAGGGCTGTTGCTTTATTCACTGTGCCACCTAGTTGCCCCTCCAGTCATCTTCTGAAGAAGCTTTGGTGGCTCCCCACTGCCATGGGATTAAAATAGAAAATTCCTGTTTTACAAAAATCTGGCTCCAGCCTATATTTCCAGGCAGATTTCATAATACTCTTCCTCATATCTATACTACATATACATATACTACAACCAAACCATGCTATTGTTGTTCCCCACACATGACATTGTGCCTCCCACTTTGAGGATTTTTCCCAGGCTGTCCTCCATGTTTGGAATGGTCTATCTCCTCATCTCTGCCTGTTAGGATCTTTATGTCCCTTCAAGACTGCTCAAATGCCATCTCCATTTTCCTGGTTCTCCCAAGTATTGATGCTATACTCCCTCCCTTCACTGTGAATCAAAAATATATCTGTGTCTATATCTACTTAGATATATCCTCATCTTATACATGTTTTATCCCCTAGTAGAATTTAAGTTTCTTGAATGCAGGAACTTTCTGTATTTTTACCTCTAATGTCTAGCATAGTGTCTGACATATGAGTACAACAATAACTGATGGCTTACTGACTGAACATTATCTTCATCTTGGTAGGAAGCTCAACCAGGTTCATTATTATCGGGCTTTGAATAAAATATTAGGCCCAGGAAATATAGTTGACAAGCTTATTGTCATCCCGGAGTGTAGTGGAAAGGATAAAGGGCAAAACATCTCATCGCGACCACATGGCAAAACATTAGGAGTGATAAGTATTAAGAAACTGCCTCTCATGAGAAAAGATGCTGGTTCGAATATGGAGCAAAGATGATTGATAATAGTTGGTTTGCCTGACTAAGAGATTGAAACTCACAGGAACACAAATGGCTTAACTTAGTGGGGTGAGCCAGTGGTCCTTATATTTGGACAGAGACAATACCAGTGAGTATAAGA